TTGGAGTCTCACTCTGTCGCCCAGACTGGAGTGCAGTGGCTACTCCTGGCCACCGCAGCCTTGACCTGCTGGGCTCCGGAGATCCTTCCACTTCAGCCTTCCAAGTAGCTGGAACTACAGGCGCACTACCATGCCCAGCTAATTTTTTTAAATTTTATTGTAGAGATGAGATCTCACCAAGTTGCCCAGGCGGGTCTCAAATCCACGGGCTCAGGCAATCCACTCACCTCAGCCTCCCAAGGCGCGGTATTACAGGCTGGGCCACTAAGCCCGGCTTAATCCGCACATATTAAGTTACTCCCTAAGAGGTGGCTTGATTGACGAAGTGTATTAGGGCAAATACACTGTATTGGACTAGCAAAAGTAGGCTCTCACCAGGTGTGAAAGCAATTTGCTCATTGAGGATGAGGGGAAGGATAACAGGTGAGGCAGGAACTACGTGTAGACAGGTTCATACCACTCTGTGGACAGCTGTGTGACTTGTAGTAGTACAAGGGCTATGCTCCTCTTCTGAGGGTGTTTATGCTGAAAGACTCCACCAGTTTCATCATATGTCAAAGTTCCATAGGATCACTGATGATTCTATAGGATCCTCGACGATTCCATAGGATCCTCGATGATCCCATAGGATCAATGATGATTGACTTTGGGAGAAGGGAAGAGATAAAAGTGGGGAGGTCTTGGCCTGTGGTGGGGGTGGCGGCTTTCTCATAATGTGGGAGTCACTAGATCCCTACTTGCTGAGAAACAACCTCTGTTCTCTCCACCCCTTTTGTTTTAATCGGGAACACATTACTGTAAACATGATCTTTCCGCTAGGTATTGGTGTTCTACATTTTCTCTTACTAAAAGTATGGATGATTTGAAACCACTCCTTTCCTCTTCTTGGCTACATTAAAATTTAATTGACTAGAAATGTTTTCTATCAGATTAGAAATGTTGCCAAAAAAACCTTAAGTATTTGCCAGGGTATTAAAATGTAGGGGTATGGCCAGATCTTTGGCAAAAGTCACAGTCTTTAAGAAAAAGAGAAAGTTGTTTATTAACTGTACAAACTTTTTATTGAGGACATAAACCACTGAGAAAACTATTACAATTATAGTATTTAAGATAATTGGTTGGCCACATTTTGTTAATTGTTAAAAAAAAAATTTACCTAGAATATCTCTTCCCACTTGCTCCTCCTCCTCCTCATGAGAGCACTTGGGCAATATTTGAGCCCTGATGACAAGACCCAGTGATGCTATCTAGGGCAGGAACACAGGAATTGTCTACTGGCTTTGGGTCCTAAGTCTGAGTTTTAGTTGAAAACAGACAAGTAGAAGATGCTATAGAAAAGTACTTTTCAGGTTTAAAAGCTTTTTAAATTCCCTGTTTGGGTTTTAAAAATAGAAAAGAAACTGGCTCCTTTTTTTTCCAGAGTGAGATGACATTACTCTCCATTCTCTCCAGACCCCAAAGAAATACTAACCAGGTTTTTAAGTACAGTGAAGGACATCTCCCAGCTAATACCAGAGTTTCCCATCTTACTCTTAAAAGTATTGGATCTGATTTTTTTGGTGGGCACATTCTTCCAAAAATAATTTAGCAAAGTATTCAGGATTATCTGATTCTTTTATGTGAGTTTCTGTAGCTTGATATGGTGTTTCAGTGCTTCTTATTAGTTGTGCAATAATGGTAATAGCTTATTTCTCAAAATTTAAATGCCATTCCCCTGTTTTATTGTCTAAGAGATAATTATTTATCTTGCTTTTCATAGTGTTCTTAGGATTTATTTCGTTACTATGTATTGGTGAGTTATGCCCATTTTATTATTTATTTAGAAAAGTAGTATCTTTGTAATGACTGACTTGGTAGCAGTAATTTTGCTGCAAGAAATAAAGAGGATGTGATAGAAGGTTTTTTGCTGGATGATTTGTAACTTTCTAATTGGGAAAATTTTCCTTTTAATTGCTTAAAAACAATTTTTGGGGATATTTTGTGGTATTGATTATATACAAAGGAGACTTTCTATGATACAACATATTCTAAAGTAGTATTTCTCCTTCTTTTGTTTTAAATGAAAAAAAGTGAATGTAAAATGAAGTGGGGAGATGTCTGAGAATAAAAGTAGCAAAGGAAGGAACTTCTTATCCTCAGCCCCACTCACTGTGTTCTGGCTGCTTTGTGAGACATAAAGACCATGGAAGAGCACATGTTAGAACCCTTCTGAAGGAGAGCATATATAGGGGGAAATCCTTGAAATGAAAACTGCAGATACATGTGAGAAGAGATGGTGGACATTCGTAGCAAATGATTAACTGAATCATTCTAAATTCTTAGCTCACTCCCAAAAGGCATGTCCCCCCATGGAGACACAGGCTTCCTGTCTGGGTGTTTCGCATACATGTGAGTCTGCATGGGAGTGAGCAGGCTGGACAGATCACCTCCACTGCGCCCAGGGGCCCGGAGGAGGACTAGGGCTTGCTCCCACGCACCAAATCAGCCGTAAGCGGATGGCTGTGCCATTGCAGTAGGCTTTCGTTTCACTTAAAATAAGTAGTTGTATTTATGTTAAACATTGCTTTCATACAGTTAGTCTCTGAGTAAATGCAACTAAAGTTAGTACTTTAAGCAGTAAGAATTCTAAATACTTTGTTTCCTACTAGTAATTTGTGAATATCAAGATACCTCATTGAATCTCTAAATTTAGAAGCATTAGTCCAGTAAAAAGTAACTTCATAGAGAATCTATGACTTTTTGAGGAACGTCGTATATTAATAAACATAACCAATTTTGAATCTGTTGTAGCTTCTGACCCCATCAAACCAAAGGCACAGATTTGTGTACAGTATACGCACTGAATGCATAATCTAAGAAAAATTGGGGCCAAAGAAGCAGGCAAGAAAATCTCCAAACTCTAATGGCAGTATGAATCAGAGGGTTTGCAGGTTAATGTTTTTCATCCATAGCAATTGCTCCCTTGTCTAGGATCCCATGAGCACATGGAAAAACATGTTCGTCTTGTAATCACAGCAGAAAGTCAGGAGACCCCAGTGTCCAACCTGCTCTGCCACAAAGTGGAAGGCTGATCTTGGGCAAGTCCCTGGCTCTGGCCAGCCCTCCATTTGTCCATCTATGAGATGAAAGGGTCAGCCCGGACCACCTTCTGAACTCCCAGCTCTAACAGCCTGAGAGCTCAACACTGAACAGTTTCATCATTCCACTTTACAAATGTGGAAAGCGTGTCTTAAAACATTGCCTTTGTGTAGAGAAATATTTCATTTCCTGTGTTAATGAGCTACCTACTGAATATAAGCCAGTGCATTTAAAGTGATAGCTTCAGAAGCGTACCTCTAAATGTACTTGGAATTGTGTTTGTTTTCATAGAATTACACAATAGCACTGATTGCAGGCAGGACAGGAGCCGCCATATGAATGTGCTCTACTTGGTCGTTGGACATCCTTGAGAACAGCCCTAAAATAAGTCAATTCTTGCCCCCAAAACCACAGAATGGGTTCAGAAAAGAACAGAAGAACATGTAGCAAGGCTAACTTGAGTTCTCTAGTGTGCTCCGCAGTTTTACACTATACTAAGACCCACAGGTTTCTTGAAAAGGAAAGTTTGCCCAGCAACAGTGCAAAAAGAAGCCCTTTGTGTCCTGTGTGGCTGCGTCACTTGGCTAAGTCAGTGGTTGTGAACACAGTTAGTTGAGACAAAATGTGTCCAAAATGTCATTTGAGTTCCTGGGATTTTTGTCATAGCTCACAACTCAGAACTCTTCACCATGTGTGTCATCCCTTATCTCTGGCTGATAAAACTCTGAAGGGTTGTGGCTTATTTTGTTTTTATTTTCTTTGGCTTTGTGCAATTTTCTTGTAACTTTACTTGTACCTGTATTTTTCTGTTTATAGTTTTTTTAAGGGGAAGGGTTGGGCTCTAAGATCTCATTGTTTATTGTAGATAAAAAAAATTTTCATGTTGTAGAAAAGCATGGGTTATGCATTTGACTGAAAAAGGCACTGTATTATTTACCAAAGGGGTATTGTTTTGCATTTGTTTATAAATGCATTATTTTGGTACTGTAAATTTGGACATAATTTCTGAGTTTATTACTACTGGCATTTTAGTTTTCCTTTTTCTGTTTAACCGTAAGTGCGCGATGCAGGTGCAGAGGTCCCAGACCAAACAAGACCACCAGCATGTTCCTGTCCAAACTTTGGGGATAGCACGCATGGCTGCGTGCACCTCGGTCCTCCAATGCTGGTTTGTGTGTTTGTTTTTCTTTCAGCATTCTGCTTTGTTTTCCTTTCCAAGCAAGATCTGTTGAGACTCCCAATTGCATTTTAATGAACTTGCCTTTATTTGCCTCTCTTCTTATGTATTTTGTGTATTAGATTGTACAGAAGGTATTCTAGAAGGCATTAATGGTTTGCATTCAAAAATGATGTGGTTTGTCCAAATTATTTTGTCTTTATTATTGAGATGGATTAATCTCCTCATTTTTTTCTTGATTATTTGAAGTTGTAAGAGTTGTCCAGCTATTGCTTAATAAAATTTTGCAGATCAGAAAACCTGTTACTCATGTGCAGAATTCAGATGTGGGTCTTGAGTTTTTCATGAAGAAATCCCCTCACTCTGTTGTCATGACCTCTTGACCCGCCAGTTGCTGCTCGGTTCCCTGGCTAACTACCAGCATGACTGAGACCCTGAAGTCCCAGTCATTGTGCTGTGCGTTTGAGAGGTCAGAGATTGTGCTGTCTTCTTGACAAGTTTGGTTTGAGGGTTATTTATTTCCTTGTATTTTTTAAAAGGGGACTCCATTCAGAGTGTATCTGCATAGCACCTAAAAAATCAGAGGTGCTAAATATATTAACACCTTCTTTGTTACTATGTAGGAAACTTAAAATCAACTTTT